GCAGCTAGAATTACAGGCGTGAGCCACCAGTGCTGGCTATGTTTTCTTTTGTTTTTGGCCCACCCTGGGGCTTCAACTCTGGGTCTGGGTGCTGTCCCTAAGCGATTCAGCCCAAGGCAGCTCTCTACCACTTGAACTATAATGCCACTTCCCATTTTCTAGTGGTTTATTGGAGTTAAGGCTCATGACTTTCCTGCCCTGGTTGGCCTTGAATGTGATCCTCAGATCTCAGCCTCCTGAGTAGCTAGGATTACAGGCGTGAGCCACTGTCACCCAGCTCCCTAAGTTTTTATGTTCAAGGCTAGTGCAATCTACCACTGAGCCACAGCTCCACTTCCAGCTTTTTGCTGGTTAATTGGACATGAGAATCCCGCAGACTTTCCTGCCTGGGCTGGCTTCAAATCATGATCCTCCGATCTCAGCCTCCTGAGATCTCCTGAGGGGGCCGAGTGCCACCTCCTGGAGAGTGTGAGGCCTGTGGTGTGCCCTGCTGCTCAGCCCACATGCCGCCGCTGCCACCCTGGGCCCACACACGCCCCTGATGTCCTCTCATCAGACTGAACTCCTCTGGGGTGCAGGGAGGCTTCTGTTCCTGCAAATGCGTCTGGGCTTCTCCCCCAAAGTCTGAGGGGGTCCATCCTGAGCAGGGCCGCCCTGTGCACCTCACCGACCTCCTTCCCCAGGCCGGGTGGCTCCCCAGCGGGAAGTGGTAAGGGAGCCCCCGCCACGCAGCCTTCTAGCTGCCCACGCAGGGCAAGGCTGGCAGGGCAAGCTGGGGGGACGCATCATATTGACCCGCTGAGTCTTACTTATGTGTAATCTGCATTAGGGATGAACTCTGAGCAACAAGTTGTCCAGTCATCCTCTATATTTCACTATCATTTGAGAGATTTCATCTTCACTTGTGACAGGCCAGTTCCTCCGCTTCCCTGCGCACAGACACTCCTGCCTTGGTTCGCCTAGAAGCTGCCGTGAGGAAGGAAGAGGCAGGCCTGAAGGAGGGGAAAGCAGCTGCGGGGGCATGACCCTGTAATTTACTCCACACAATGCCTGTCCTCCTGAGGCTTGGCGATGTCTAAACTGAACACCTCCAGAGCCCGGCCAGGGACCCCATGTCTTCCGGTGAGCAGGTGCGCTCTTGCTTGTCAGGCTGAGTTTCATGGCTGGATCTGAGAGCTGAGCTTCCAGTCGTTGAAACCCTTTTTCCTTACCTAGAATTGGCCAGGTTGGATGGCCCCACACTGGGTTTCACCCAGCCCAGCTCTGCCTAGCCCAGCTCTCTACCAAGACGCAGCAGCCCTGCAACTGCCCCCCCCATCTCCTGTTCTCCAAGCCAGGGTGGGGTACAGACACTGAGACCTCCAGCCACGGCAAACTCTCAGCAGAGCCAGCAGGGAGCACGGGGCAGCATTGTCCTTGCTCTCCCATGCCTCCAGCTCTAGAGCTCTGAGGTGGAACACAAAGGCTCAGGGTCCTTGGCCCTACCACAGGGGTGCTGGACACACAACCAGCCAGATCCAGCAGTGCATGGGGACCACTGGTAGCACAAAGTCAGTCTGGCACTAGAAAAGTGGTCAAGGAGTCTCTGACTTCTGAAATGCCATTCTACTGTCTCAAAAACGCAGAAGAAGCTGGGTAACAGCAGCTCTCCCCTGTAATCCTAGCTATTCAGGAGGCTGCAATCTGAGGATGGAGGTTCAAAGGCAGCCTGGGCAGGAAAGTCTGAGAGACTCTTATCTCCAATAAACCACCAGAAAACAAAGTGGCGCTGTAGCTCAAGTGGTAGAGTGCTAGCCTTGAGCTGAAGAGCTGAGGGGCAGCGCCCAGGCCCAAAGTTCAAGCCCCACAACGGACAAAAAAATAATAAAATAAAATAAACACTTGAGTGTATCTCAGTGACAGAGTGCCCAGCATGCACAAGGCCCTGGGTTCAAACCTCAGAGGTCCTCCCAAGCTCAGATACAGTTTGTATAAGTACTGAAAGCAGACCTTCTTAACTAAAGATGAAGAGTGAAAATGCTGCAAAGCAAGCTAGACATTTAGAAATGATTAAAACACAAAATCTGCTTAGATTAGAAGAAAATCTGCAACCTTTATTTTTAAGACTTGATACTTCCATTCTAAGTCCCAAAGACAACAAGCATCTCTGTACCTTCAAATATGTAATTACTTAGCCAAGGCAGAAACTGATGCACAGAAATCACAGACTGGGGAGTGGCGCTATGGTTCAAAGTGGCAGAACCTTAGCTTTCAGCAAAAGGAATCAGGGACAGCGCCCAGGCTCTGAGTTCCAGCCCCAGGACTGTGTCCCCATCCAAAAACAAGACGAAACAGAAAACACAGGCTGCCCTGAGGTAGACCAGTTCTCGGTGTGCCTGTCCAGTATCTAGCCTAAAGGGCTAGGGGAGGGTGCGGAGGGGGCCGGGCCTCTTGAGGTGAGCGCGTCACCGGCACTTCCCCGGGCAGGGGCCGCACCCTGAGGACCAGGCGCTCCGCGCGCTGTACCGGGGTCTTCCAGCCCGAGCCCCGGGGAGCTGGTGGTGAGGTCCGGCAGCTCGGCCGGGACCGGGACCGGGGTCTGCCTTGGCTGAGCTGCAGCCCGAGGGACGAGACGCCCCCCCCCCCGGGACG